TCATCATCATCATCATCATCATCATCATCATCATCATCATCATCATCATCATCATCATCATCATCATCATCATCATCCTCGGTAATGCCTTTCTCCAACCGCTTTAGATTCCGTGTTTGTAATATGTGGTGGCAACCATACTCCAAGAGTTTGAAAACATTCAAAATGATATCCGTGCCGGCCTGGGCTTCACTGTCACCAAACCTAATGCGTGGTGCGACAATATCGCAAGCATCGGGTAGAACTATTGTAATAAATCTTACTTACCTGTTGATTGGAATAAGAAACATGAACATTTTGTACTCAATCATAGCTGTAATGAGCAGTAGCGTTAATGCTACAAAAATCAACTTCACCTCTTGTTATAAAATGCTCGTCTACCAAATTTCTTTGTTGTTCTGCTAATTCCGTATTTTTGTTGTTATTGTAATAGTTTCTCTCCAACTTAGCCTTAACCAGATGTTTTTTGTATTTTTTTAGTAAATCTTTTGCTTTACGAGCATTATATTATAAGCCATTCCGAAAATGTTGGCACGTGTCACATAAATCCGTTCTTGGGCTCACAATTTGAATATAATAATAAGGCGTTAATTGGTGTGCGGAACGTTTTCGAGACCTGCGATAAAATTGCGATAGACCGATTTACAGTGTGTTACAAAAAAAATTGGCCAAATGTAGACGCGATTTAAAACGCGACAACTTTTTACCCACGTAAACAAACACGTATAATACTAAACTATATAAAAGCGGTACCTTTTCGCTTTTATGCAGTATAATTTTTTTGTTGATAACATTCATTTTTGCATATATTAAAGCTTCGAACATGACATCATCACGTCTACAAACACATCGTCAAACAATATTACACTTTCTTAACGAGGGTGTGTGCAATGCACAGGAAATTCATAAATTAACTAATATTCCACTCTCTACAATTAAATATAATATTAAAAAGTTGGAATAAACGGGAACTTTAGCTCATAGAAAAGGAAACGAAAAAAAAGAAGGTCACACCAACCGCAGCAAGGATTCTCGGTCAATTTATTCGAAGAAATCCTACTCAGTCGTTGAGAAATTTAGCTGTAAAACTTTCTAAATATGATGTAAATATAAGTTACGTTACAATCAAAAGGCATTTAAATGAACTGGGTTATAAAAATCAGTTGCCAATCGGTACGCCTATGTTAACGGAAGCTCACAAGGCAAAACGCGTTGAGTGGGCTAAGAAACATATTAATGACTCGTGGGAGAAAACTTTATTCAGTGACGAAACTGCGTTTCAATTATTTCGAAATACAATTAAGCATTGGTATAAAGGTCAGCGTCTAACTAAACAATTTCCAAAAAATCGACAAAAAGTTTTCGCCTGGGGTGGATTTTCTGTTAGGGGAAAAACGAGTTTATTCTGCTTCACGCAGATAATGGACGCAAAATTCTATGTCGAAATACTTGAAAAACACCTCCAAGAAATCAATAGTATGCTTGGAAATAATTGAAGGTTGCAGCAAGACAACGACCCCAAGCATACAAGTCACCATGCCAAAGAATTCCTTAAGGAAAATGTCCCAGAAGTAATCGACTGGCCTTCCAATAGCCCCGATTTAAATCCCATAGAAAATTTGTGGGCTATTGTCAAAAGAAACACAGAATTACAAATGCCAAGTAATTTGGCTGAATTACAACAGTTAATCTTCTAATTAATCTTGTCAATTCAATGAAGAACAGGTGTGCACTTATAATTAAAAATAATGGCGAAAGAATTTGTTATTAAACTTTACGTAAATAAAACTAGAGTTGTTTAGCTTTTTAATAAATTTTACTAAATAAAAATTGATATGTAAGTTGTTGAGTAATTGCTAACTTTTTTTGGCTAATTTTTTTTTTGTAACACACTGTATAACTCGTTTTAGCTGGCAAAAGTGTAAGCGATTGAATGCGATTGACGTTTCTACCAAGACTTGGTAGTCAATGAATTTCAGCATAATTCTTAAGAAAATTCTTCACGGCTGTAGCAACGGTTATATCATTAGTCTTCCATCGCGGCACTCTTTTCACATTGCCATGAACACGTGGTATTATACCACACGTCACCAAGTAATTTCTAAACACCTTTAGCGTTCAATCGTAGGTGTAAACAAATAAAGAACGCAAAACTCCAAGTAATTTCTAACATTGCACCTTCGACGGTCTGCATGGACATTACATCAGTGGTGCTGAGTAAATATAGTGGATCGAATAGGTCACAGTTTTCAGACTTGACACGTTGGGAGGGATCATTGTCGGATGCTGGTTGGAAATTGGAAAGCCTTGAGGTAGTATCAAGAACCACCACAACTTTGAGGCAAATACCAGAAGTTTTGCGTTCTTTTATTGTCTACGCCTACGATTGAACGCTAAAGGTGTACGAGGCAAATACCAGAGGGCACGCCTCAAATCAAGAAAGCGGCTGGTTTTTACAGGATATTTTATATCTAGTAGAGGACATGCCTCATCAAACACAAACAAAACATTCATGCGCGTATTGTTTGGATCTCTTAAGTATTGCTGTATACCAGAAGATTTGTTAAGTTTTTCAAAGGCGTCTTCAAGCGTGTTGGGAAAGCTGATGTCTTTATTTTTCTTTCGTTCTAAGTCTGTCTAAGCGTTCTTGGATGCGCTCCCAGAAGCGCTTTTCTTCTAATTGCGTTTTGTATGTTCCGTTGCCCATTCTTCGGGAGTTTTTGATGAGTCTGCAAGTTCCTCAAGACATGTGGCAAAGTAAGCAACATATGTCATCTCTGCCTTCTTTAACATAACGCCCTCCAAATAATCTGCAATTGATGAACAATATGGATAACCATTTCCCTTCTGAAAGCTGCAATAAAATATGTAAACGCCTTTTGTAGCCAACTGGCGGATGGCTCGCGACTTTCCCCAGCCACTAGCCTGAATGAGGGTAGTGTAGGGGGAATACCATTTGCTAGTGCCTTGGCTATTCCAGTTCCCAACGTCCTCATCGAAACAATCAAGAAGGTGTTGTAGTAAAGAGTTGGGATCCTTGTAGGGTGCTTCAAACGCTTGTATTACGTTCTCAAGTCGAGTGTTGGTTGACTCTACTATTCCATAAATGAGAATCAAATTTTAATTAACAAATATAGATTATATCGATAAACCTACTGTTGTGTTGATAACATTCGTAACTATCCTCCCAATAAACGTGTATTCATTGCTTGCTTACCTTGTTGCAGCTTATTGTATTTTTTTTTAATTTCATCGTAGGAGGCGCCAGGTGGTCTTTCAAATATTTTCTCCATGCTTGTAGAACGTGTAGTGTGCGTGTTTATATCTTGCTACGCTGCGCTATCACGTTGTGGAGTGCATCAAATCAGATTGCCCGACTGCTGCCCCTGTGATTGACCTCAGCCCAAAAGGCATTGTCAAGAAAATCCTCGAACGTCGCGTCACGCAGCCATTCGTAAATGGTCAACTACTATTTTACAGGCGCTTGATTACATTGCCAAGATACGATTGAAAGTGCTTGCTACGACCGTCTGATGCGGTCAAGATAATCGACCATGCCACTTCTTATCTTGCCACTATGTCGAACTTTGATCAGCATATGAGAATCTATCATTTTATTCATGGGGTTTCTTATTGGAAAGTTGAACTTCAGCAGCGTAACCGCAGTTTGGATCTGGCTATGCGAAATTAAAATGCTATTTATCATTTTAAGAGTTCCAGTATGAATTGCTAAAGCAGTGAAAACATTTACATAATTGATATACTTTAATCTGTCAATGTCTTCTTTATTACTCTTTCATATTCACTAGAGCGATTGCATGGGAGAAAATACTCGGACCCAAAGCCATTGGTATTGGTCGCTCTAGTGAAATCTACAACCCCCGACAAAATTATAAGTACAAGACGAAATTTTACTAGTAAAACATATGAAACCCTTTTATTTTTGAAAATCTCTCTTGTCCATACGTACTATATAACCCAACCCACAATAATTTTGGTACAGTTTTGAAGCTAATTGGCTGTATTTATCGGTGTAGAATTTAAATTAGTTACCGTAATGAAGACGTAGTTCGCACATATGATTTCATATGTGTAACATAATTTCGCCGATTCATCGAACTACAGCTTTGAAACGACAACAGGACTGAGTATATCATAATTTTTTCTGAAAAATACAATCAAATAGCTTCAAATCGGTACTAAAATCATTGTGGTTTACATAGGAAGTATGGACAATAGAGATTTTCGAAAATAAAAGGTTTTCATATGTTTTACTAGTAAAATTTCGTCTTGTACTTATAATTTTGTCAGGGATGTATGCTATATATTATTATTATTATTATTATAAATGCTATTGCTCAGAAGTTTTATCAAATAACTTGTTAAGATTTTTCCACAAACTTGGTAAATATTTCCGCTCAATGGTATTTTGTTTCAATTATCCTCGCTTGAAAAAGCGTTCGAGTTATAATTAGGACTTGATTGTGAGTTTTATGGTAGAAGATTTCAATAGCGAAAGTGAACATTTTGAGTAGGATTGTTATTTGATTTTGTAGATTATAAATCTTTCGATAATACGGTTGCAATTCGATCGGTCGTAATTTTTTTTTTTAAGGGAAACCGTGGGTAAAATAGTGCTGGTTTATACCAATTTCAAAATTATAAGCGTTCATTAAACATCATAACCATAGACTTGAAACAGTTGATTTGCCAATCAACGGCTGTTCTCCTAATGATTTATTCTAGTGTTTTTCTTTTATTACCTTTAATACTTAACCATTGCTATTCTTACTCGAACAGCATACAAAGAATCATGGAAATTTGTCCCGATTATCGGTAATTATTAACAATAATAAAGAATATTTGCTTTAGGTTTCTTCTATTTTTCGTTTTTTCCTTGGTTCATTATGTGTTGGTGTTAATGCGCGCTTATGGTTTATTAGTTTTGTTCTTGATAAATTTCATAAGTGATTTTTTCTTTATCTAGATATTCTTCAAGAATTTTGCTGTCATTGATTTTAAAAACGTAAGGTGCAATTTTTCTCCTTGTTTTTTAAAATACTTCGAATAGTGCAATAATTTTTTGGTTCCATAGTGGATCTGATATATTTTATATAGACATAATCTTAATCAATTTGAATATGAGTCACAAAAAAAATTAGTTCATGGGTTGCACCTAAGCCACAGTTATACCAAGTCTTCCCAAAAACATCATGATCAATAATAGTGTCTTCTCAGCCACATCAACCTTTTTAGCTCATGCAGTCAAATGTTCACTTTGTTGCAGCATGCCCCATATAATAATAACGGCCGATTAAAAAAAAAATTTTTTTTATGGTCACATTTATATCGCAGTAGATGTTCGGTTAAGTCTAGAAGAGATCACCGATACTGTCAACCCTCGGAAAACCGCTGGGGATATTCTTGCCCCTTTTATCGATTTTTCGAGGGTTGACTGTATCGGTTTTCCGCGTAAAACCTGTACGACATAAGATATCGGTTTTGGGAATTATTTATAGTTATCGTTATTGATAATAGAATCTTTATTTAAATTCGTTTCCAAGAATTTCAAAGCAAGACAGCAGGCGAAATGCAGTCAGACTCGACAAGTCGGTTTTGGCTTAACTCGGCTAAAATTTTTTTTATTATTTTGATAAGATGGTCAATCTATGTAAATTCGTGATCAGACGTAAGTCGGCCAGCGGGTCTTAATTATGCAACACGTTAAGTCGGTCTCACGTGATTTTATTGTATATATAATTCAATTACTGGCCAAAAATCGAAATATTAATATTAGTAAATTTCACTGGATCATACGATAGAAACAATTAGAGACATCAAATCGCGCATTAATCATGTCATAGACTCGTGTGAAGAACTTTTTGTAATTTAAAAAGTCAGTGATTCAACTTCAAGTAAATTCCATCGGAACAGTATTAGAAAGTACCCGAAATTTGAATTATGTACAGCAATCAAATGACCTAAATGTAAATAGCTCTCAGGGAATGAAAGATTTAACAGCGTCAAATAAGAAAAAGCAAATAGATTCTCTGAGATATGAATAAACACAACTTATAAGCACGTGATTCTCGATAAATTGGTTACCGAAGAGCAGGTATCTTATCGAATCTGCATGTGTATAAAGATCTACTACATCCTAAATAACAAAATTAACTTTTGCTGTAAAACGACGATCGCTGTTTATTTAGATTCTGGTCTTCCAATACTCATTAAGCTTTCGAAACTGTTTGATGTGCATTTTAAATGAGCTCTCATAGAATACACTTTTAAAGTCAAACGGGTAAAACTTTAATATTAGCTGTTTGCAATAGATTAAAACTTTCCCTTGAACGAGGTAGTCGATTTTAAAGTGTTTAAAATCCATAGAACTAATACTTCCCAACCTTGGCTTGACTTTTCAGTTTTGTTTGATGAGAATTCGGATCGATTTACGAGCCAGCTGTTCGACAGGTCTTTCAGACGATACAGACTAATTCCAATTGCCCGCTAGGAGAAACATTTTTCTTGGCAAGCTTTCCCAACGTTGAAATAATGATGGTTTACGCTGTTTACTTTTTTTGGTCAGACAATAAAAAACTGTAACAGGACACATGTTTCAGATTTAATTGTATGACCAAGAATCATACGATCACATACAGACGAGTATAAACACGCACATATGTGTGATGCTAAATTATAAATTGAAAAATTGGTTAAATCTTTCTAACGGGAAAAGCTAGTTATACAAAAGGTACGACAGTATCCGCTTTTTTTTTTAAAAAAAAAAAAAAAAACTTTCCCGAGCAAGTCCAAGCCAAGACATCGCAATGGTTGATAATCGTTCTGTGGGACGACAATAAATTTTACCTTTTCCGTCGTCGGAACACAAGCTTAGCCCAACTGGATCAATAACAATGTTTACGATAATTATTCTTTATTTGTGTGACAAGATGGAGATGCTCCATTCATTTGACAAATTAAGCTAGCGTACTGATACTAATACATAAAAACCAACTCGGTTCAATTTGCTGCTATACTATGACTTCCGTTTGATCAAAATGTCAAAGTTCTTTCACGCTATGCGCGCATGACTGTGTGGGCTTACATATTTCGTGTCTCGCGTTCGTTAGTCATATCACAATAATTTAAAAAGGTCCCCTGTTATACCTGTCACTCAGATGCAAAGAAATTTCTTATCCTGAAACGGTAATCATGTGCTTCGAACCTTATTGTTTTCTTGAAAATGGATTCATACACCAGATTTTCTCATAAAAAGGACCCATCCTTGTTCAACTTTATATTTGCCGTAATTGTGTACAAATATGCAGAGCAATTTTGCTGCTAGTTTTAATATTTGTCTTATAATAGTATTGTTGTACGTGACAGCAGTCACAGCAAACTCAGTCAAACCGTTTACATCATCGGCCCTCTCAGCAACGATTGAAAAAAGATGGGTTCCGTTTCTACCCGTCTCCGGTCCGACTGAACAACGTTCACATAGCGTCAGGAATTGCGGAGGATCGATACGATTTGATGACTTCCACCTCATTAGTACCCCGGGAAAATTATCTGCTTATCTCTATACAGCAGATCCACTAAACCACTTGGGTAATGCTACAGGTAATTGACATTATTGTGCCGATTCTCATACCAATAAATATTTCCAAGAATAATTATTATTAATATCCCAGTGCGCATAAGTTCGTCAACAAATCCCAACATTATTTTATTGCTTCCTATCGACGACTCTCGTGCGAAACTTGTTGACGTGCCATGCGGTAATGGTAATACCGGTAGTAGCAGTGGTAAAGAATGGTCGTGTCAAGTTACATTTGGATCTCCCACAGTATTTAGCTTTTCTTATGAAGCAGCTGCCGACAACAAAAGTAAGGGTTCATAGCATTGCTATCATCTATTACAATGTTTGGCTTGTTTATTAATCAATAATGTATATGCACAGACCAACTTGGCACACTTTATCAGAATACCCATAACGACTTCTTTGCGAAGTTTTACCTATTTGATCAGTTTAATAACGATATTACGGGTTGTGCCGTAGTTCCCGTTGGAAATGCCGATTGGCCCGCCTCTGTGTCAGGCAATGTCACAAATGTGGCTACAATTCCTTTTATAGTCGGTGCAATTATTGCAGTGGCTGTCAGTGTGGCGCAACAGATCGCCACAATGCAGGCAGAGTTAACCAAAGGGCTTACCAAAAAAGTTGCCAAAAAGAAAAAGGAAAAGGAAACGTCTGACCTGTCTAGACAACCGACCAAAGAAGTCCCATTATCGGCACAAATTCCTTCCGTATATGACGTTTTTCGTGCTGCTCAGTTTGTCGTAACCAATGCTCTACTTTCATTGTTTTGCCTCCCACCCTTGTTCCGGGACATATCGGTCAAACTTGCATGGTTTAGCGCTGTCCCTTCAAGTAAATTTAACGGCACCTTGTCCCAAATTGCAGATGACAATATTCGAGGAGGAATATGCACCATGCAAGTCAATAACTGTCTTGATAACGTGCAGAGCTTAACCGTGACAAAATTTTGCAAGCCAGAGTTGAAACCGCCCTCTTCTGGTTTCTCGTCTTTCGGAGAGATGTTAAACATTCCCAGCTATAATATGTTCTTTATGGTGCTAGTCGTATTCTGTATAGTGTTGGCGTGTGTGGTGTTTGCTGCGCTCCTCTTTGGGTTAGTGGCACGCGCATTAAAGAGTAAATGGGATACATGGCCCTTTTTGGAAAAAGCTTGGAATAACATTCCTCTTTTGGTCATCGGTAAGCAAGATCTTGTATGCGTGAAACACGACGTGATATAACATTTGAAAATTCTCTAACATTGCTTTTATCATGCAGGTGGAGCGTTACGAGTGGTAATGCGATTATAGAACTTTTTTTTTTCTTTTTGAATTTATTGAACTGATTGAATTGAATTTGACAATAATCGTTTTTACTTGTACTTCTTAATGTCCAGGTGCTCCTGTTTCACAGCCCTCTCACACTTTTTGCCGTCTATCAACTAACGCTTCATTTCGACTGCTGGTTCTTGCTTTTCCTTGCCATATTGTGCATTGTGTTGTTTACTTTTGGTACCTTAGGCTTTTGCACATTCAGAATCATGTGGGATATGTACTATGATCCGGGTGCATTCGAGACTCCAGTTCACGAATTTGTTTACGGCGCTTTTTACACTCAGTATCAGAATGATCCAGATCGGTCCAGTACGGATCTGAGCAAAACACGCATATGGTTTTTTATTTTCACGACTGCTTATGACACGGTTCGAGCAATCGGCATCGGAGCTGCTCGTGCAAGCGGTGCCGTACAAACAATCTACTTGATGGTTATCGAAGCATCATACTTCATTGCGTTGTTACTTTTTAAGCCTTATATGATAACCTTGATGAACGCATTGAACATATTGATATCTTTTCTGAGGATTGCGGTTGTGGTCCTGTTGTATCCAGGCTTGAGCAAATGCACAAATAGTATTTTTAAACTTGTTGCGCTCGGATTAGAAGGCATTATTTCTATATTGTTGTTTGCCGTGATCCTCATAAAAGTGACTGACTATGTTGGAAAAAATTATTGCTGCAAGTCTAAAGATACGGCGGAAATCGAGAACGACCGATTTTAATATGAAAGTGGGAATTTGGTATTTGTATATAGACTAACTCATGTATCTTGTATTTTATCAAATCTTCTGGTCCGTTGACAATTGCTAAGTATGCGTGACCAGATACGCATTATCGAATAATAAAATTTGTAGTTATCCTCCAAACCAATCTATCATTTTATGGAAGAAATTTAGTAATAATGCGGCGTTAGGCAAGACAAGTATCGAGGAAACCATATTCAGCTTTTATTTCTGTATTTGAGTCATCTTTAAATCAATAGGCATCTATTATCACATGATCGTAAAAAAAGTTCAAATTTTCGACTGGGAATATTCTCAAGTTATAAGAGTTCTTAACACGATTAACATGCCCACTTCAATTAGCTTCAGCTAATGCCAAAGGCAGTTATACAGTATGATGAGAAAAAAATGTTCTCTGTGATTTTGCAATAACTCAACAATACTAATACTAATGCAAATTATTTACAGTAACCAATACCTCAGTTATTATTTAAATATCTAAATTTTTTAAATTCATCAATAAATTCAAGTTTATTATTTTGCCAAAGAGCCAGACATGTTCTAGCATTTGTTGGAAAATTTTGACGAAGGATGGCTAAACTATCTAATTAATTAACATTAAATATAATAATAAGAATGAAACGATCCACGTGTAATGCTTTATTTCAGGACTGCTTGACACTTTATGGACGATTTTTGGACGCTTATCTTACTATATATAGTTATGGATCGCAAAAAAAACACTATAAATGGTTAAAGATCGTCCGAAAAGTGGGGTCATTCTTATATATATTATATTATATATACAGTATATAGTGAAAAGTGAAAGAAAAACTTCTCTTACGGTTGGGAACGAATATTGCATTTTTGAGACTACACTGCATGTATCAACACATCTGATCGCTTTGAAATCGCTTGCTCCATAGCGAACCGTTGTACGACAAAAATCGTTTTCAATCTACCAGCTACAACAAAATTTTAGCAGCTTGATTTTCCGATTTAGCGGAAATCTGCTTTAAATTTTTGATACTTTAATAAATATTTTAACGTCTTGTAATAACCAACTTTTTATATTTATTCTGATGTATTCGATTAATGTTTGTTTTACATATTATTCGACAGATGATGCGTCATTATCAACATTTTTTAGCACGATTTCGAAAAGAATTTTGCATAATGCTCCACTTGAATAATTTAATTCGTTTGATGAATTCTTACTATGCCTCTCATGTTAACTCATATCGTATTTATAATCGTTATCGCTAAGAATATAATGTTATAACATATAGCTTATCAAAAATTTGTCTTTCACGCAAAGATACACCTATGGCAAAAGTTTATAATCCGAATCTTACCTGTAACAAAGGTAAATAACCTCAAAAATTATCCATTCTCTACATTGACATATGTAATCTGCCCATTCACCATATCCGTCATTAAAAAAATGAATTTCCTCGGAGAAGAAGTACAAAGGCAACCCCGTTATAACAAAGGCGTCCCGTCCGGGCGGTATAAAGGGATCTTCGGAATAACGGGGTCACCCGTGTTAACGAAGGTTAGCAATATGTAAAACCTTTACCCGAGGAGGGCGATGTATATGTAGGATCACCTTGGGAGACGGGAAAAACTTATACG